CGCACGCATGCCAGGCGAGCGCGCTACCGCTTGAGCCACATCCCCAGCCCGAGAATTTTTTAATATTTATTTTTTAGTTCTTTGGTGGACACAACATCCTTGTTTGTATGTGATGCTGAGGATCAAACCCTGGGCCGCACACATGCTAGGCGAGCACGCTACCGCTTGAGCCACATCCCCAGCCCCTCGGGCTCTTGATTTCCCTCTTTAGTTATTACCTAGGTTCATGTGAGGCCAAAGATAATTTAGTGGCAACTGAAGGATAAGGAAATCCTGAAGGCAAGAAGTCCAAACAGAAAGCCTAATTTTTTTTTTTTTTAGTTATAGTTGGACACAATACCTTTATTTTATTTATTTATATGTGGTGCTGAGGATTGAACCTAGGGCCTTGCACGTGCTAGGTGAGCACTTTATCGCTGAGTCACAACCCCAGCCCCTAACCTAATGTCTTTATAATGAAGTAATGGAGGTGGTGGTGACATCTCAGCCTCTCAGAAGCCAGATGGCCTAATGGTAGAACTTCCACACTATAGAAATATACTGTCAGTCTCTTCAACCCAAGAAAGCCACTGAGGTTTTACTACCTGAAAATCAAGGGCAGGCCCTAGTTCTGTCCATGGACATTGGTCCTCTGTAAAGCTAATTACAGGAAGACCAAGGGCTTGTCCCGGATTCCTTCCTAATCTTCCAGGACTCCCTTGATCTCTTCCCTCTTTAACTCACTTTCCAGAGAAGAATGTGCTTAATAGAGATTTTATTTTGGGGGTGGGGTGAAAGAGTAAGTACTGCATACCAATTCCAGAATTTTCATAAAACAAGTTTAAATCTGGGAGTTTGGCAGTTTTAACAACAACAAAAGGGTTTCTGATGCAGTGTAGTGTTAGTCCCAGTTTCTCAGGAGGCTAAATCCAGAGGATCACTTGAGTTTGAGACCAGCCTTCACAACATAGCAAGACCCTATCTCCCCCCCCCCCAAAAAAAAAAAACAACTTTTAGCTGAATTTAAATATTCTGTACTGTGTATATTTAACAGTATTTGCTGAAAACATTCTTTTTTGCTTTCTAGGAGCCAGTAAAACCTGAAGAAGGCAGAGATATGGCAAACAGGATTGGCGCCTTTGGGTACATGGAGTGTTCAGCAAAGACCAAAGATGGAGTGAGGGAGGTTTTTGAAATGGCCACGAGAGCTGCTCTGCAAGCCAGACGTGGGAAGAAAAAATCTGGGTGCCTTGTGTTGTGAAACCTTGCTGCAAGCACAGCCCTTATGCGGTTAATTTTGAAGTGCTGTTTATTAATCTTAGTATATGATTACTGGCCTTTTTCATTTATCTATAATTTACCTAAGATTACAAATCAGAAGTCATCTTGCTACCAGTATTTAGAAGCCAAACCATGATTAATAATGATGTCCAACCTGTCTGACCTGCCAGAGTTCTTCTGACACTGCTCTAACAGCCCTCTCTGCACTCCACCTGACACACCAGGCGCTAATTCAAAGAATTTCTTAACTTCTTGCTTCTTTCTAGAAAGAGAAACGGTAACTTTTGTGAATTAGGCTGTAACTACTTTATAACTAACATGTCCTGCCTATCATCTGTCACCTGCAAGGAAATCTGGTGAGTCATCACTTTGGAGCTTTACTCCTCAGCCGATTTCATTGGCATAGCTCTGGGGTGGGCATTTAGTTGATTGAAAGTGTACTCAGCCAGAAAGGCCCAAGTCCATGCAGCTGTGGCAGAGTTACAGTTCTGTTACTCTGTTAGTTACCTTATAGTTACTGTGTAATTAGTGCCACTTAATGTATGTTACCAAAAATAAATATCTATCCCAGATTAGATGTAGTATTTTTGTATAATTGGATTTCCTAATACTGATATTTGTCAACCCACAGAAAAGTGTATTGGTTTTTTAAAAAAGAAAGTGTATTTGGAAATAAAGTCAGATGGAAAAKTCATTTTTAAAATTCCCGTTTTGTCACTTTCTCTGATAAAAGATGGCCATATCACCCTTTTTTGGCCCCACATTTCCCAGTACCCCTCTCCAGAGCTGGGCAAAGTAAATAGGAATTTGGTTTCATGCYTGAAACAATTAGACACTTGAAGGTGGCATAACCTCTCACCTAGACTGCAGGGTCTGGCTCTTATTCACAATGCTCCTTTCTTCTCACTGTATCCAGGTTCCCTCCCMGAGGAACCACCAGTTCTCATGGGTGGCACTTGGTTTTTCTCTTCTCTCCAGCTGACTAAACTTTTTTTCTGTACCAGTTAATTTTTCCAACTAWTAGAATAAAGGCAGTTTTCTAAACTTCCTGTATCCTGGTGTGTGTTTTGCTCTTTCCAGGGCTGGGAAAGGAGGATGGGCTCAGCCCTCCTGGCCTGGCTCACGCTGGAGAGGTTTGTTCCTTCAGGGTATGTGTAAAATACCAGCTTGTTTGCAAAGGGGTAGAGCCCCCCCMCACACACACACACACATTCAGCACTAATCTGGCTTCTCCCAAGAACATGGAGATGATTATCCTGTGTCACATTGAATTTCCAAGCACGGATGGGTGGAGTGGGAATGAGCCTAGTCAGACATGAAGGGGCCACTGAATTTTCTTGGCCATAGTGAGCTGTTAAGCAGGGAGCTCCTCTTCCAAGAGGTTTTGGCACTACTTGTTAGTAGAAAAACTAAGGGTGTTGCTGTACTGGTAGCAGAAAGGTAGAAGGAAAATCAGAGGCCTGGATATGAGTATCCCCCAGAAAGCCCTACAATATTGGGAAGTGAAAACTGTCTTACAGAATGGAGCCCTGCCCCACCTCTCCTCCAGTTTGACCTTCCTAAAATTAAAGAGCCTCATTGGACAACTACTTGCCTTGGAAGCCCTTGTAGACTGCACCAACGTTGCAAGTCAACCTGTGTACCTGGCGACAGTAGGGCACATACTGCAAGGGCACAAGATGGAGGGCCGTTTGTGCATGAGCTGCTTCCACGGCGGCAGCCAATCTCCCAGGCCGGACTCCACAACTTAAGGAACATTTTGAGAATGAATTCTGAGGCCTCGAGGGCTCCCTGCGGCAACCCGGGCAGCCATCTCCAGCCTAGTGCAGGGTTGCTTGAGCCAGACCAGGCATGCCCTAGCCTCTGCCTGGCTTTTGTGAAGACCGCATTCCGCGGGGCCGCACCCTCCCGGTAGTCCCAGTCATGGGGAGGGGCGAGGCCCTTGGGGAGGGCGGAGGCCGGATGAGGCGGGACTGTCAGATCTGGAGCCGGCTGGAGGGCCGGAAAAGTGTAGGTGTCACGTGACCTTGCCGTGACCCGTTAAAAGGCACTGCCTGGGCCCCCAACTGTGCTGATAAACTTCTTTCAGTTCCCTGACACCCACGCCGTGTGTGCCACTAGGCTGGCGACAATGGCGGCCCAGTCCACAGTGTACACCTTCTCCGCGCGCCCGCTGGCTGGCGGGGAGCCTTTGAATCTGGGCTCTCTGCGGGGCAAGGTGCTGCTCATCGAGAATGTGGCTTCTCTTTGAGGCACCACGCTTCGGGACTACACCCAAATGAACGAGCTACAGAAGCGCCTCGGGCCCCGGGGCTTGGTCGTGCTCGGCTTCCCGTGCAACCAGTTTGGACATCAGGTGCGCTGAATGGGGTGGGTTAAGGGTGGGCATGCAGTCTTTGTTGGGGGCGTAGGCCTGGTAGCCTTTGGCCCATTGCGTGAAGAGGCGGGCCACCGGCTTCCCTTCCGATGCTCCTTGCGGCTGCGAGGAAGGCAACATCCTGGTGACTCATCGAAAAACTCCCCATTTGGGGTTGAAGGGCTCACTTCTCGCGGCCCGAGTCCCAGCTGCCCTTGCCTCCCTTTAGGAGAACGCGAAGAACGAAGAGATTCTGAATTCCCTCAAGTACGTCCGACCCGGTGGCGGGTTCGAGCCCAATTTCCCCCTCTTCGAGAAGTGCGAGGTGAATGGCTCCAAGGCACATCCACTCTTCGCATTCCTGCGGGAGGCCCTGCCAATGCCCAGCGATGACCCCAGTACACTCATGACCGACCCCAAATTCATCATCTGGTCTCCGGTGTGCCGCAATGATATTGCCTGGAACTTTGAGAAGTTCCTGGTGGGCCCTGACGGTGTGCCGGTGCGCAGATACAGCCGCCGCTTTCCGACCATCGACATAGAACCTGACATTGAAGCCCTGCTGTCTCAGATGCCCAGCAATGCCTAGGACACTCCTCTTATCCTGACTTGGCAGTTGCCAGCTGCTTTCTGTGGGGATTTCATCCATGATGGTGTTTACTCTAAACCTGCATTGAGGAACGCCTGATTTCCGGGAAAATCCCCATAGAAGGGCGCTGGGCTTGTTTATCCCTGCCTCCTCTCTGCCTACACCAAGGCAATTTTTACCACTAATAAAGTGCTGGGTGACACGGAATTGTGTGTTTGTTCTTTGTCAGTGTCATCTGAGGGCACTTTTCATACAACCTCTTTATCATATAGGTAGGAGCTTAATCTACAAATCTGAACTTCTTTGTCCTTTGGTCTACATCCTGTGCAATCCATTTTTTCCTATGTGGGATGCCTCACTTCTGTCTATGCTTTTCCTTCTGCCAGAACATTCAACAAGGCCTTTCTGAAGTTTTGTTACAGCAAAAGTTTTTTAAAGTCCTTACTTTAAAAAAGAGGAAGACACCCAGACAAGGCCAACTGCCTAATCCCAGTATTAAGCCTCTCCCTTCTGAGAATTTGTTGAACATGACCTTCACAAACATGGGCCCCACTCACATTCAGACTTTTGGATCTCACCAAGTGTTAGGCCCACATAACCTCTTTTGACATTAAGAGGCTTTTAGCTACTAAGCACATCCCCAGCCCTTTTTTGTATTTTATTTAGAAACAGGGTTTCACTGAGTTGCTTAGGGCCTTGCTAAATTGCTGAGGCTGACTTTGAACTCACCATCCTCCTTTCTCAGCATCCCAAGCTACTGGGATTATAAGCTTGAGCCACCATGCCTGGCAAGACTTGTGCAATATTAAGTTTCCCACTGGGCTGGGGATGTGGCTCAAGCGGTGGGGTGCTGGCCTTGCATGCATGCTGCCCGGGTTCAATCCTCAGCGCCACATACAAACAAAGATGTTGTGTCCGCCGAAAACTAAAAAAAAAAAAGTTTCCCATTACTTTGCTAGATCCTTCCAAATTGTTTTTTATTTGCTATGATGATGCCCTTACCAGTTGCTGCCATTCATATATTCAGAGTAATAGTGTACAGTGTAACTTGCCTGACTAGAACCCAGCACTGAGGTGCAATTGCACCTTCAGGCCTTGGATAGGATCACATCTTAGAGGCCAAGTGTTGCTATTGACTCAGGCCTGCTTAGGTCCCACCCCTCCATTTGTTGACTTTGCTGCCAATAATCTTTAAAGACAGCTGTGGAGCTGTTTCCTATCAATGCAGGGACAGCTTCTGCTTAGGCAGACAAGAGGTATGTGAGCAGTATCACTCAGTCTGGAGTATGGTCTTGAGGTTCAGGGATCCCAAAGTGTGTGTCCTAATTGGTGGTTCCTGGCCCTTCCTTTTTTTTTTTTTTTTTTTTTTTAAAGAGAGAGAGAATTTTAATATTTATTTTTTAGTTATCGGCGGACACAACATCTTTATTTTGTATGTGGTGCTGAGGATCGAAGCCGGACCGCACGCATGCCAGGCGAGCGTGCTACCGCTTGAGCCACATCCCCAGCCCCCCTGGCCCTTCCTATGTTTGAAACAATTCAAGGAATTTTTCCCTTGCCCTAAGCAGGAATCTTGCTGGGTGCTGTGGCACACATATTATTTCAGGAACTCAGAGAAGCTGAGGCAAGAGGATAGGGAGTTCAAAGGCAGCGTCAGAAATTTAGCAAGGCCCTATGCTTAGAAAAAAGAAAAAGAAAAAATCCTAACCAGGGATCTTTGCTGTGGCCCTTAACCCTGTATTCCTTTAGATTACTAAAGGATGAAGGGTCCCTCAGCACCTGCTCTGGCTCCCTCTCTTGCCTCCCTCTTGGATACAAATTATTTCACACACACATATATATGTGTGTTGTAGATGGACACAATATTATTTATTTTTATGTGGTGCTGAGGATCAAACCCAGTGCTTCATGCTTGCTTGGCAAGCACTCAACCACTGAGCCACAACCCATAGCCCCTCCTCTCTGTTTTTGAAACCTTTTTGAGGTAACTGAGTTAGAATAAGAACAGTTTGCTCCCCGCTGAGTCCCATCCTATCTTTATTCCTGTCAGAAAAACAGGGAGCCTTTTTCTGGTACTAGGGATTAAACCCCAAAATGCATTACCACTGAGCTACATACCCAGTCCATTTTATTTTCTGTTTTGAGACAGTATCTTGCTAAGTTGCTTAGGCCTTGCTAAATTGCTGAGGCTGTCCTCAAATTTGGCAATCCTCCTGCCTCAGCCTCCCGAGTCACTGGGATTACGGTTGAGCTCCATCGTGCCAGGCTCCAGGTGGTCTTAATTACATCTGTGAATGGTCTAGTCTGCTTTCCTATTGGTTAAGAGTCTAGAAGGTGGCCTGGACACTATGGCACATGCCTGTAATCCAAATTACATGGAAGGCTGGTTGAGGCAGGAGGATCACAAGTTCAAAGCCTTAGCAATTTAGTAAGGCCCTAAGCAATTTAGTGAGACCCTGTTTCAAAACATAAAAAGGGCTGGGGTTGTGACCCAGTGGTTCAATCCCTGGTACAAAAAGAAAAGAAACAAACAAACAAATAGCAGGATGGGATATTACAAAGCAGGTCCACTTGATCTAAATATCTAATACTGGAACAGTGTCAAACAACACATGAAGTATATCCTGGGTGGTATCCTAAAGTTCTTTTACAGATCATTTGGCTCCAGGAAGATATTTAATTTTTCTAAAGTATACTTCTAGAGCCTTTTACTTCTTCACATCCCCTGGCAGGTTAAAGAAACACAGACAAGATCCAAATCTCCCTACAGAAGTACCTGTTACCCAAATTTCCTTTGTCCCCAGTGTGTGATGTGTGTATGTGTCTTGAGTTTCCCTGAGCAACCTTTGCATACCTCATCACCCATTCCCCAAACCCAAGAAAAATGTGGTTTTCTTTTCTTTTCTTTCTTTTTCTTTCTTTTTTTTTTTTTTTTTTTTTTTTGGCACTGGGGATTTAACCTAAGGGCACTTTACCACTGAGCCACATCCTCAGAACTTTTTGTTTTTTATTTTGAGACAGGTTTTGCCAAATGGCTTAGGGCCTTGCTTTGAACTTGCAATCCTCTATCTTAGTCTCCAAAGTCTGTAGGATTACAGA